GTGATTTAAGTAGATAGTAAAATGTACAAATATTAGTGTTTCACGAATTATATAGAATAAAGGTCGTGAGATTGTGGTATATTGTTAATAAAAGTGTAATACGTAACTAAAAATTGGCTTCGCTAATATGTATTATAAGAAATAATATGATTGGTTAATGATCACGTTTTGGTGATTAGCCAATCATATTAATGTTTTCTTATAAGGCATGCCTCGACTTGAGGCATGCCCCTTGAGGCATGCCTTAAAATTTTGCCGTGCCACCTACCCTAGAACAAAGAGATTGATGATAACATGAAAAAGAGTTTTAACTTTATTTAATGGCCTTTCTAATCTTGCCACTTTTATTAGTTTCGCCACCTTTCGCTAGTTTCGTCACCAATTTCGCCACCTTTCGCCAGTTTCGCCAACTTTTGCTAGTTTTAATTTTTTTTTTGGCGAAAGTCGAGACTAGGTTTCGCCTAACAACGCTAGTAATACCAGTCTAAAAAATGTGCTGATGAATTAATCTTAGGGCATTGTGGGTTAGAGGGTTTTAGTTATACCGAAATTTCATAAGGACGCTTTTTGCTAGTACATAGAAAGCAGTTTCATCATCAAAATTTTGTGTTACGAATGATTTTCGAAATTTTTTTAAACTGGTATTTTAAATGCTGTTTGTAAATATTAATTATTAATTTTAATTAAATTTTTGGATAGAAACGTACTTTAAATTAATTATTTTAATGTTTGCCAATTTATTACGAAAATATAAAGATCGATGATGTCTTAAAACAGCCGAATGTACATGGTACTGTATATTTTAGTGCATAGAGATTCTCTAAAATAACGTTAAAATCTTCAAAGATTTAGTTACAATATATCTTTAAATGAATTAAAATTCCTTAACAAAATTTTTGTGTTCATAAAAGGATAGTTAAACATGTGATAATTGTTACCCATTATAAAACTGAGATGACGCAAAGGTTTGATTTTTTTTTCAAGTGAAAAAAAAAATTCACTTCTTCAAAATGATGCACTCATCTACTTCAGAACATCCCTATTTTACCCGTTCCAGTTCTACTGTTTCAACCATTTCAACTTCTAATTTGTCAACGACTTCATTCAGGTTAAACAAAGAGCTTCTTAACCAAACTAGGAATCAGTTACTTATATTCCAACAAAATGACAATGAGGAAATGAAACCAGTTATTATCGCTGAAAATGTATCCCTCGAAACATATATCAAGTATTGCAAAGCTGAACGAAAGCTTCCTGTTAGCATTCGTTTAGTTGATGGAAACATACAAGCTTATGAAGTACCGCTCACATCTCATGGAGGAGTATCAAGTGAAATCAGTTTCTTGATTAGTAATTGGAGTAATCAATTAATTTGTGCGTCCAAATAGTTATTACACTGCTGATCTTACTATCCGACCACAAAATCTTCCTAGAGCTCCAGCTGGACAGGAACCTAACTCAGAAAGTGCAGCATACCCAACAATGGTTGTCGAAGTTGGAAACAGCGAGTCAACCCCTAGCTTACATAATCTTTCAACGGGTTATTTTTCTCCACGAACGACTATCCAAATTTATCTTGCAATAAAACTGTTTCCTATTCGTAATGATGGTACAAGAGCAATGCTTGCACTACGTTATCTACGTACAAATTCAAATCCAACAGTACCAGATACTGTAATATCTTTCGGCACAGCACCTCTTAATCATAATACAATAGATTTTCTTTTGAATAGTGTGGGCGTTTCATCTGCTAGTCTTACTGGCGTTGGGTTTTCAACAAACGTTTGTAACGCCCCTGGTATTTCGAATTATCAATTGCATACTCCTGCTGCTGAAATTTTTAACGGTGTACATGGTGGCATCCCCGCTGGAACAGTTAATGGATTTTATTTGGATTTATGGGAATTACAAAACATAGTAACAAGTTTAACCAGTTAGACTAATAATTTTTCTCAACGTGATTTATAGAGTATATGAGTGCGTGAGAGTGAAAGCCTGTAACCAATCGTAGTAAATCATTAAATCTATTTCCAGGTTTCGCTCTCACGCACTCATATCAAGTTAATAATAATGGAGAATAGTGCAATAATTAACGATGCTTTTTAAATCACTGAAATATAGTTCTCTCTTTAGTTTATTACTATGATAATATATTTTAGAAATGCGTAGAATGCAAATACATCTAATAAAGTTTCATTCGCTATTAGGCTTTATCAAATAAGTATTGGAAGAAAAGTCATGAAAAATAACATTTTCCAATTTAACATTGTGTATATTGCAGTTCATTTTAAATACACTCATAACTTAATATATAATTCCTAATTCTTCAATTATTCTTCGTACAATTCCCCCTTGAATTTATCCTACTTTTGTTGATTGATAAAAATTACCGTGATCTTTTTATTGTATGCCTTGTACTTCGATTACAAGTCATATCAGATACGCAATCGTTATTATACGAATAACATAAAACATAGTTGCATCAGCTTGAAACGCTATATTAAATTTTGTGTTTTAGAAGCATCCTTCCTTTGTGAAATTCTATGGTTTCTTAGATACAAGGTGCTCTGATATAAAGTGACAGTAAAATTGTTAATCAAAATTTGTAATTATATTAGGACTGGGTGAAACCCGCGTTGTAAATTAGTAAAATCCGCTAAACTACTCCAAGAGCACCATCAAAAAATTTTTCAAAACGTGACTACAAGCCAATCACAGTTGAAGATCCGATGTAACGTAACACTAACGTAACACGATCAAATTAAAAACAATCGTTCTTTTTGCTAAAAATCGTCCATAACT